TTCCTTATTCACTCCCTTATGAAGTACTGACTGTGTGTCCCCTGGCTATCTGAAATCCAGGCATTCTTGAGGTTCTTCCCCATTCTAATACTCTAAGGAGTGTTTTATGGTAAAATGGATGAACACATGACAACCAAAAAAAAAAGAAAAACAACTTAAGACACAAAAGAGTGAACTCAGGTAAAACACAGGACTCAGTGAACTCAGGTAAAACTCAGGTAAAACAGGAAAAACACAAAGAACTCAAAAAGAAAATAAATTCTTTAAAAATAAAAAGTTTAATTTGCATTAAGTGTAACAATATACAGTCTATAAATTCTCTGAAACACAACTAATGAGTGCAAGTGTCAGGAACTATGGTAATTTTGAAAATAACAGTCTAACTTTTTATTAGACACTTGACCAAGAAGATGATATAAGAAATGCCAAGTTATATAGGAGTTTATTTACATGCATTTTGCTATATACATTCAGGCTTTTACCTAAAATTTTCTAAAAGAAACACTTCATTAAAGTGAATTCAAATTTTAACACTATGTGGAACAAAGAAAACTGGCAGAAGTGACAAATCTCTCTTCTCCAACCAACCGGAAGCAGGATCACTGAGTAGTAGTAGGTGGTCTCTTCTTTACCCCCTTGTATTTGGTGAGGAGCCAACAACTGTGAGAAGGTAACCGAATTGTCAGAAGGAATGGTCTATGAGCAGGGTACTAAGATCTAGAGCCCCTGTTGCCTTGAAAGAAAATGAGGTAAATAAGTATAAAACACATGTTAAAATTAAGAGAACGATGGTGGGTAATCAAGATGATCTTATTTCAAGCAACTAAATTTGAATAACAGGGAGCATGGAGTTCGTTTTTTTAAAGTAAAATTTTATTCAAGTTCTAATAATCATTTGATAAGATTGCTTTGTGTTTTGTTAAATCCAGGCAAAACTAAGAAAGGGCTCATATTATATGTCACTGGTGTAAAGAACACTGTACATGCTGTCACTTCAGTCGTGTCCAACTCTCCGCAACCCTATGGGCTGTAGCCTGCCAGGCTTCTCTGTCATTGGGATTCTCCAGGCAAGAACACTGGAGTGGTTGCCTTGCCCTTCTCCAGAAGATCTTCCTGACCCAGGGATCAAACCCGCATCTCTTACGTCTCCTGCATAGGCAGGCAGGAAGTAACATTACACAAAGCATATTAACCTCAGGAAACTAAGGACCTAACCGTAGTCTCTATAAACAAGCTGATCACCATGTATAAACACTGTCAGAACATTCTGTGGACCTCAAGACAGTCCCACTGCTTTTCTTGTACAGTATCATTGTAATTAACAGTTCTGGCCAGTTTGGTTGGTTCTCACTTCAGGGAGGTCAAACCACATGCTGTTTTACTGACTTTGAGTCGTCGTTCTACTAATAGTCTGGAAATCATTGTTTTCCTTTCTTGATGGATCCACTTATGCCTATAAATTCCTTGTTTTCTAATGCCTCACTGTAACTGGAGAGTCAGCACTCACCACAGAGTCAGCCAGACCTGGTCAAAGAGCTCTTGCTCTTTTAAGAAACCTCTCACCCGCAGAGCAGGGCACAGCAGCATGGCGTTAACCAAGGCTGTACTTTACCATTCTACTTAAAAGTCTCTGACCATATCGGTGACAGTGGTTGTTGATTTCTACCAACTGTTTTAGCTATTTCTTACTTTTAACCCTAATTCTTTTTAAAGTGGTAAGAATATTAATTCTCTTCTTGGTAAGAACTGTTTCAGTGGTGGTTTAAAACTGATGACCTTGAAAACTAATTTTTTACATACCTTAGCTTAAACCGGATCCCTCGGAAGATCTATCTATCTCAAAGGCAGCATTTTCTTCCTAGGCATGAAAGGGTTTAAGATATGTAAGATTTTAAATTCGCCTTCTAGTTAATCAGTCTCAACCAAGGATTCTCAACCTCTCTGAAGTGATGAGCCATTAAAAGACCATCCAAGGGGAGGCTCTCAATTTAGAGTAATTTATGTTTCCCAATTCATTTACAAAATTATGGCCTATGCTTAGAATTCTGAGTTAGGCAAGGATTAGGGGCACCAAAACCTGGAAATCAAAAATGCAATCATTTCAGGTAGCCCACCCAGGCTGGTCACCCCTCCACCCCTACCCCAAGCAAAAAAGTCCCATCGGCTGTTCCTTCCCTTCTGCCAAGTGTCAGCATAATTCCAGAAGGGCAAGCAGTGAGGGAGCCTAGATATATTCAGTCTCAAGTATAAAGAAGTTAATTTCACGGCTCCTTTCTTTTACCAGCTTATTTTCTCAATGTCACTCCATAAAGTTGAGGGGACAGTGCCCTCTGGTTCTCCTTTCCTGGTAGCTGTGTTGATTTTACTCAAGAGTTAACCAGGAATTCAGGGATTTTTAAGCTAGGATACTTCTAAACAGGCTGAGAATTCCTGGTATAGCCAAAAATTATGTACTCTTAAAACCTTTTAAATTTAGTATTTGAGCCAGAAGGATAAGGGATTTAATTTCATTCACAAATATTTTCTAATACACTTAGTATTTGTAAGGGAAAAAAAAATCATGATTACAAATATACTTCACTCAGAACTATAGCATGCAGGTGATCTAAAGAGTTCTCAATTTAAGAATTTTAGCAAATAAGTTTCTAAAATTATTTGACTAGGCAATTAAACTTATTCTGACTGCTGTGTAAAACTTGCATAAATAAAATACAAGACAAAAACAAGTTTTCATGTTAATATTGAAAATGTTGTTAGGAATTTTAAGTTTCCCCATATTTGAGAGCTGATCCTTAAAAACCCAGCATCATGAAAGCTGTATCAACTGAGAGAGCATCAGTTCTTTTCCAGTCTCTCCGACAGAAAGGCCATTCTCACAGGTACCACCCCACATGTCTGTGGTCAATGAATCTGCCTTAACATTAGTTGTGTGGACAAAACTATCTGTGGCTTAAAGTAAAGGTAAAACAGTTTACAAAACACGGCAAGACGCTAACTGAGGCAGACTCTTAAGGGACTGGCAAATTTAGAGCACTGATTCTTTTCTGTCATTTTTCACCCAGTTTACAGCAAAGTTTTGCATATGTGAGAGTCAGGCTGCGCTACAGGTTATAAATAGATACAGATACACACACACACACACACACACACACACACACACACAGACTTGAAGAGATGATGGTGCGACTCAATAACCCATCTGGTTTGTCAATTTCCAAAGCACTGTGAAAAAGCAAATTTTTCCAGGATGCTCATGCAACAAATTAAACTGACATCCTCCCAGGATTTGGAAAACCCACTTCTTGTGGTTACAGAAACGCACGGTACAGAGCTGAGCTTGGGCGCTATGCTTCACAAAAGCACCATTGAGACGCTGGACCTAACAGCCATGCACTCCAAAAGCCAGGGAGAGTCGCTCAGGACACTCCTGCCAGCTGCGTGACTGCTACGTGAACCTGAACATCTTCAACGAACTTTAGACCTCTGACAAAACAAACACACAAATTACTTTTTTATTTTTAATCAAAATGTGAATCATCACTGCAGTGAATAAAAATTCATGACTCAGAATAGCATGCAATTTTTTTATTGTGTTCTAAATCTATTTGTACACTTAATACTCTTGTATTAACTTCACAAACAGAATAAAGAATACACTACAATGATATTAAGCTGTATCTACTCACCTGAAAAGGAACAAAATACTGCCCCTGAAATAACTGCTGATTACACAATATTGCAAACTAATAAACACTATAAATACTAAAATGTTAACATTTCAACACAGAACGTCAACAACATTCTGCCTTCTTTTTTAATTAAAACATTTGTTAAGGTCATGCAAAATAAACGCTTCATGGAAATGTTAGATTACACTCAAACAGCAATGCAACGAAACCCACAAGAGGCAACTTTTTAATGCAAGAACTGGTCAAATAAACCATTCAGCATGTCAATAAAAATCCGGTTAAGTGGAAAATGTCAAAAATGTAACACCACATTTAGGTAACTGCTCATCTAGGATCTCAACATCTACAATCCTATTTGTGACTGAAGATTACTGTGCTACATGGATACGTTATGTTAAAAAGGCCAAAAAGATGTCAACACATGATGGCAGGGGGCATCCCCAGTCCACACCACACTTCAATGGGACCATTCTCTTAACTCCACTATCAGTAAATGAAAAGTCACACAAGAGTCATCTTTTTACCCTTGCTTTGTTACATGTCTTTAAACTTTTTTCTAAAAGTATTTCTTATGATCCTCCCCCAGAATTCACATGCTGATTTAGGTACAGGTCTGCTGATTTAGAAAGAAGGGCATCTAGGTCATAGGGAGGTGATGCCCCCCGCCCCACGGGCCAACCTACTAGCAGCTCACAAGGGCCCAATTTCTGGGGCTCTACTCTGGACACTGTTGACTCACTCTTTTATCAACTTTTAAAGCCCTCTTTATATTTTCTACTTACAATTTTTAAACTCTTTGATAAGCAATCTGTTATATAGAACACAGTTCTCAACTTACAGAGCATTAACTTTTAGTCTCTAGAGGCTATTCCATGACTTATCACCCCTTAAGAGCAAAATGTGCTTCTGGTTCACTCAGCATCGTGTCTTCCCTCAAATATTTAGTGAATGAATGTTCCTCAAAAGGAATCTCTAGCTTGTTACTTTTGTTGGGCAAATTCAGTTTATATTTAATAAACTCTCTGACCTATCTGTATACTCAGATCTTGTCTTGCAGCTGTATGCCGATGAAAGGTGTCATAACAATAGTGGGATTTTACACTTCTAAGTACAAAGACAATGGGGCTGACGGATGAGCCAGGCTTTCTCACACTTCCCTCTGCTGTGTCTCTTTTCCCCAAGATCTTCTCATCCGTGAAGGTTTTGTGAGTGAAATGGACACAAATAACATGCACAGATGGAGTCACTAAAAACTCAGGTCAGTCCTGTCACAGGGGCACAGTAATGCTATTCTACTTGTGCTTGTTCTTCTTAAAGAATGCTCTCTCTTTCTTCTCCAAAGCCTGTGCTATCAGAGGCGGCTACTGCATGGAGCTCCGAAGAGTCCTTTGAGAGCCTCGTGTAGCTCGAACGCTGGCCTCGCTTGTGCGCCATACTCTTCAGGTTCTCATTCTGCAGAGCGGTGGAGTGGGAACTGGAGCCTGACCTCAGGAGGACTTGGGGCATCTCCCTCAGCCCCTCTGTCTCATCGGAATTCTGGTTGGCTCTGTTAGCTGGGGCACTGTTGTTGTTTAGGGTCACAGTGCTGGGGGTGCGATTCAGGTTATAGGCTTTGTGGCATGCTGGCCAGTTTTCCTCGGGGCTGCTGGCTATCAAGCTGCATTCGGAAGGGCTCTTCTTGTCCTCAGAGCAAATGGACATCCGGGCTACGAGGGGATCTGGCAGGCCACTCAGGCTGTGCGGGACTCCCCGTCTCCCGCTGTGGGGGTCGTCTTCAAGCTCTATGAGGTTGGCCTTTTCAAGCTGGGAGTCATCCGCCGCCTCGTTGTGAAGGGAGTGGTTGGGCGAGCTCTCATTGGACCTCACTCCCGAGTCAGAGGAGTCCTTTTTGTCAAGGAGGGCATCTGACAAGTACTCTTTGGCCTTGATGAAGGTTCGGATGGGCTCTGTGCTGTGCTCTGGAGACTTCAACGCTCTCTCTGCTTTCCCTTCAGCTTTCTTGTCTTTGTCGTCTTTGAGCAGCGGAGTGTTGTCTGACTCTTCTGTCCCGGACTCGTCTTCATCACTCGGGAGTTTCTGATAGCGCAGCCCACCTCCCTTCAGCTTCAGGTCTGTCTGGAAGAGACTTGACCTTTCTGAGGACTTCTTGCCTGGGAGAAGCTTACTGCCTGACTGATCGGATTTTTCATCTTCTTCGGTAATAGGATCCAGGGGTGAGGCATCATTGGTGGAAACTCCTGATGAGGAATAATCTATAACATCTCCCCTCTTCATCAGAAATGACTTCCGTGTATCATCTTGCTTTGGTTCACTATCCTTCCCCTTCTCGGGTTCTAGACTAGAGTGAATGGAACCCCCGGATGAACTCTGACCCATGTAATATGTGCTGTGTGGAGAAGACCTGCCACTCATGGTTGTGGAACCTGTGCCCCCTTCTAACTGAGACATCTGAGCAATGTACTCTCTATAAGCGTCTCTATACTCGGCCTGCACCTTATCAGTAAGCTTTGAAATTTCAATACTGGAATCCTGGGAAGTGAGACTGGAAAGACTTGGGGTTCTGCGAGTTTGTGACTGTGAAGACAAAAAAAAATAATAATAATAATTTAAGAATTCAAACAAACCAAAAAAGGCAAAATAAACATGAGCTTAGGAAATATATATATGGACAGTAAGAATTGTTAAAGTCGTTAAAAATACCAAATTCTTTTAAAAGAATTCTGTATAACACAGTTTAACAAAGCTGTGAACTTATGAGCAATTTTAGTGTTATTAGAAAGCTTTATATAAATTTTAATAAAATTAGTTTTCTGTTAATATTTAAAAGTATAATTTAAGGTTATATTAACCACCTTAGGACTTGTTTTTATAATTTCAAACTTTTAAATTTATTTAAGGCAAAAGTCACCTTCATTGATAAAATATAAAAGTGCCTCTAAGAAAAGAGAAAGAAAATGACAGTTAAGATAGGATCTCAAGAACAAAATACTCACATCTTCAACGTATGTTAAAAAGAACCTTTCTCAACTTGCACAACATGAAGTTTCTGTCAAATTCCAATTCAGAGAGAGTAAATGTACTCAAAATGCAAAAAAAACAAAAACAAAAAATTTTAGAGCAAAAGTATAGAGTGCAATGGAGAAGATGAATATTGGATCCAAACGAATAGAAATGGAAGCTATGAGGTCAACAGTCAAGTCCAAATAAACAGAGAAATAAAATAGTTTTAGACGTTTGATCTCCAATGTGAAGTTTTAGGATGAGAATTGCTTTATATCCCAGAGAAGGTAATACACAAGGAGTAAGAGGTAAAGATTGGGGGAAAAAGGAAGGAAATGGAGAGAAAAGAATCAAGGAAGTTTGAGAAAGGGAAGAGCCAAGGCTGAAACAAAGCAGAAATAAAGAGTCTTCCTTGCACAGGAGGGAACTAACCCAGCTCCAAGAAGCTTCCCTGAGACACAGCGAGCACTGAGCGGACGAGGCCGCTCCCTCACGCCAAGTGCAGTCTCTGTACCCCTCCCCGGGATCCACAAGGGCCAAACTGTTTTCCTAAGCATATGAAGATGACCTTTGCCTTTCCACTTGCATTCTCACAATAATGCACAGTGGAGTCCCCAGAGGTTCCCTCATGTGTGACCTCCCAAGAGACTGAATGCCAAAGCAGCTAAGGGAATCTAGCTGACTACTATTAAGCCAGGCATGAAAGATTGGTAACACAATTATCATTTTCAGTAAATATGTTTTGTTCTCAAAAAATAGACATTTTTCATAAAAGTGTCATCTATGTTGGTTTACACTAGTTTAAAAGATACTTGGTTTACTTTTAAGTTTCTCAGTTTTTATTTCTAATATGGCAAATACTGAAAGATAAAACTTACATAAACAAAAGCTCTTTAGGGGTCCTTCAATAATTTTTAAGAGTGTAAAAGGGTTCTAAGATTTGAAATAAGTTTGAGAGTGGCAGTACTGAAGGGAGGCTGGGAGAGCTGCCAGGGCATGGTGGGAACACCAAGTATGGAGGATGAGGATTTCTCAGGAAATGTTCAAAGAAATTCCAGGGAAAATAAAGGGATCGCTGTTGTTCAAACAGAGACATAAAAGGGTCAAGTGTGTACTTAATTTACTGAAAAATATAGAAATTTTTATCTTAGTTAATGCACAGTAATAAAATGCTTTCCCAACTTAAAGAAATAAGATTTATAGTAGGTAAGAAAAGTAACAACAAAATATTTTTACAACCAAACCAAACACATCCTTACAAACAGCAGGCATAATAGGCACTGCTTTTTCTAAATACAGTTCCCTTTCCATAGAGTTCTTTGTAACTACTTCCTGTTTTTCCTCCCTTGCTTGTCTTCCCTCTGTTCTGTGCCCTGCTCTGATCTTTTCCTAGCGTTTTTCCTTCTTGTCCTCCCCTTTCTCCTTCTCATGTTCTCTCACTTTTGTTTTTAATCCTGATCCTTGCCTGTCCTCCCTCTTCTAAGAACATCCAAAGAAAGAGCCCCTCCATGTCTAACATCAGATAATAAAAAGGAAATGAATATCTGTGAAGATGTATCTTAAGCCAGTGCTTACTGAATTGAACAAGAAAATAGCAAGTGAAGGATGAATTCAGCTAACCACCTAGAGAGCCCAGTTCCTATCTACCTCAATGCCATTACTCTGTTTTACTGTTTTCACAATTCTTATCTTCGGAAATAATGTTATTGTCTCTGTTTTGTTGACTGTCCTCTCCAGAAGAACACAGCTCCTGGAAAACAGGGCCGCCTCCCTCTACCCTGTTCACCTGGGGACTCACCGAAGAGTTTCTAAATGACTATCTGAATGCACCAACAGATTCCCGGCTAATTCAACCCCGTCCTTCCTCTTCGGCTCATGTAAATAATGGCATCCCAGTAAATACCTGCCAACTTAGGTTGCTGTGGCGAGGAGCCCCTTCGTCCAGGCCAAGCGTGTTCAGCTCTTCAAAGCTGAAGTTCAGGGTGTAGGGAGCCTGACTGGAGAGCTCGGTGTGGGGCAGCTCGCTGTGCGCAGAGCGACGAGCAGGTTCACCGTGAGGAACAGAGTTGCTGTTTTCACTCAGTAAACGTGGGTCTTCAGGGACCACCTGGTTTTCTGCATTTCGCATTTCTAATATCTTAACAGTAAACAAAGTCATCAATATCCACGCGGACAAATCACATTTTAGAAGCTTTAGAAATTATTTTAAAAATTACACACAAAGTTACTATGATGGAAATGAGAAAGCAAACTTCCTGTAAGTGTATTTCAAATAAATTTGTCCTATATCTGCTTATCTTTCATATTAACAATACAACTGACCCTTGAACAACACAGGTGTGAACTGTGCAGGTCCGTGTACTTGCAGATGTGTTTCGATAATGGAGATAGCAGTTTGTACTACGTGGTCCAAGGCTGCCTGAATCCACAGATGTGGAGAAGCCCTGGATATAAATGGCTGACTGCAAGTTGTCAGTGGATTAACCTCCAAATTGCTCAAGGATCATCTGTACTAAAGGTAGTACAACTGGCCCTCGGAATCCAGTAGTTTTGCATTTGCAAAATCAACCAATCACAGATTGAAAATATTCGGAAAAAAAGATTTCAGAAAGTTCCAAAAATCAACACTTGAATTTGCCATGCACTGAAAACTATTTGCACAGCATTTACACTGTATGAGGTATTCTAAGTAATCTGTAGGTGATTTAAAGTATACAAGAGGATGTGTGTAGTGTGCAAATACCATGCCATTTTATAGAAAAGACTTGTGCATACAAAGACTTTGGAATCACGGGGGTCCCAGAACCACTCCCCCACCAGATACTAAAGGATGACTGGAATGACGACAATCATCATACGTGCAGTACACTCTAATTTGGCCACTGCGTTACTAGTGTAACATAACATTAAGATGAAGCACGACTGCAGCGTGTCACTGAGCAGCAGAGCTGGACGGCAGCTAAAGCAGTAGGAGCTACTGCAGTGGGACAAGGAGACCTCAGGACAGAACTGGGCTCAATTCCAAAAGCGGCATGAACACATGGGCATTTACAGCCCAGGAGTGAGGGGGTCAGTGGATGGGAAGATGCAAAGAGGAAGCCTCAGGAGTACCGGAGCGGGGAGGGGTGTTTTCTAGCCGAACCATCTTGACAGGATTTACACTGGAGGCAGGCCAGGGGTCTAGCACATCACCAGGGGCGGGGGGCAGGGGGGATAAGGAATTTGATCAGATATCGAAGGTGATCAGACATTAAGGGTGAGGTTCTTTCTAAACTGACTTAACAAAATTCTGGCTACAACTCGGCAACGCAGACCCAACGAGAACAGATACCAAGGTCAAGGCCTAGAGGGTTACAGAAGCCTGACTGAATGAGGTCAAGGAGTGTGTCTTGGTCAATGAAAGCATGGAGAATTGGCAAGTGGCCCCTCTCCCATATTTCCAAGTGAAATGACCAAAAGTAAATATTGCTAAGTGCTGCTGCATATACTCTACATAATAGGACACACAAGAGCCCTACACACAACTGTAAAATGTCATTCTTAAATGTTTTTTAAAATATAGGAAAATATCAGTTTAGACCAGTACTTACTGGCACTTCTTTTATAAAATGTTGTAAATCTACAAGTATTAAAAATATCTTACTGTGCTTCTAAAAAGATGCCAGTCTCCAAAATTCATATTCATTTCCTTCTTCAGTTCATCAATGTTACACTGAGCCAACACACGGCCATTTATGTTCGCCTGAATAAAAACAAACACAAGATAAACAAAACGTGAGAAATTCTGAATTTCCAGTGATTAAAAAGCACATTTATATTAGAGACTAGAATACACTGACCTAAAGAAGGTTATCATCCCACATAATAATTAGTAAACAAGCAGAATCTGAACAACATAAGTCACTCCATACTTTCCCAAGCGTTTCAGGCGCTCAAGTAAAATAAATCACAAGGATCAACCTCAGAGCTAACCCCAATTATTTCCGAAACTACCTTCCCTGCCATGTGCAATAACAAAACTGCTAACTTTTCTCCTCTAATCCTATAAAATCTGAGCACAAAGGCAAGCTGCTGGGAGGGGACACAGATGTCCGTCAGCATGCTGGTCGCTCAGTGACAAAGTTCTAAATGAAGTGAAAGTGAAAGTCACTCAGTCGCGTCCGATTCTTTATGACCCCATGGACTATGCCATGGACTATAGTCCATGGACTATACCATGGAATTCCATGGACCCCATGTAATTCTCTAGGCCAGAATACTGGAGTGGGTAGCCTTTCTCTTCTCCAGGGGACCTTCCCAACCCAGGGATTGAACCCAGGTTCAATCTGCATTACAGGTGGATTCTTTACCAGCTGACCTACCAGGGAAGCCCTGGTAAGCCTTCATTTACTTCTAAATAAAGTAAGCACTGACAAACATGTTCATCAACTACACCAGATAACCTCAGCCACCATAAATGTCCACCACAAGTTTCCCAGTCTACTAAATGCACAAAAAACGATCTTATCACCACTGGGTCTCTGATGAGGAATGACAGAATTTTCTTGATTAATAAACAGTTTACTTATTTTACAAAAATACAAAACCTGACTTTATTAACTGTGGTAAAAGCATGAGGTACCTGTGTTTAAAATCGATAGAATGCCCAGTTTCCAAATTAATTCTAAGAAAAGACTGTACGGAGCAAGCCTATGGCAGGGGTCCTCTGTGAAAGTGCAAGGAGGTTAGCAGTTCTTAAGAAACCAATGATGGCCTGGTAGCAAAAAGCTGAGCAGGGAGAAAACCTCTGTCCTGAGGGAAATAAAATCCCCACAAAGGATCTGTGGAGGCCTCACCCTTTCCTGACTCTAATCAAGCTGCCTAGAGGAGAGACTGAAGTTTGTAGCTTGGAAAAGCAGTCCTGGACACTTTCACAAATGGGAAATAACTAGATTTGTGAGAAAACCAGTGCTATCTGAGCATTTCTGACCAAATGTAGGCTATGATTAGTAAGATAGTATCAGTCAGTTCAATCGCTCAGTTGTCTCCAACTCTTTGGGACCTCATGGACTGCAGCACTCCAGGCTTCCCTGTCCATCACTAACTCCCAGAGCTTGCTCAAACTCATGTCCATCAAGTCAGTGATGCCATCTAACCATTTCATCCTCTGTTGTCCCCTTCTCCTCCTGCCTTCAATCTTTCCCAGCATCAGGGTTTTTTCCAATGAGTCAGTTCTTTGCATCAGGTGGCCAAAGTATTGGAGCTTCAGCTTCAACATCAGTCCTCCCAATGAATATTCAGGACTGATCTCCTTTAGGATGGACTGGTTCAATCTCTTTGCTGTCCAAGGGACTCTCAAGAGTCTTCTCCAACACCACAGTTCAAAAGTGTCAATTCTTTGGCACTCAGCTTTCTTTCTCTCACATCCATACATGACTCTCACATCATATATGACTACTGGAAAAACCACAGCTTTGACTAGATGGGCCTTTGTCCTCGAAGAAATGTCTCTGCTTTTTAATATGCTGTCTAGGTTGATCATAGCTTTTCTTCCAAGGAGCAAGTGTCTTTTAATTTCATGACTGCAGTCACCATCTGCAGTGATTTTGGAGGCCAAGGAAAGAAAATCTCTCACTGTTTCCATTGTTTCCACATCTATTTGCCAGGAAGAGATGGGACCGGATGCCATAATCTTCATTTCTAAATGTTGAGTGTTAAGCCAGCTTTTTTACTCTCCTCTTTCACTTTCATCAAGAGGCTCTTTAGTTCCTCTTTGCCTTCTGCCACAAGGGTGGTGTCATCTGTGTATCTAAGGTTACTGATATTTCTCCCAGTAATCTTGATTCCAGCTTGTGCTTCATCCAGTCTGGCATTTCACATAATGTACTCTGCATGTAAGTTAAATAAGCAGGGTGACAATATACAGCCTTGACGCACTCCTTTCCCAATTTGCAACCAGTTTTTTGTTCCATGTCTAGTTCTAACTGTTGCTTCTTGACCTGTATACAGGTTTCACAGGACACAGGTAAGGTGGTCTGATATTCCTATCTCTTTAAGAATTTTCCACAGTTTGTTCAAATCCACACAGTCACAGGCTGGCATAGTCAATAAAGCAGAAATAGATGTTTTTCTGGAACTCTCTTGCTTTTTCAATGATCCAACAGATGTTGGCAACTTGATTTCTGGTTCCTCTGCCTTTTCTAAATCCAACTTGAGCATATAGAAGTTCACGGTTCACGTACTGTTGAAGCCTGGCTTGGAAAATTTTGAGCATTACTTTGCCAGTGTTGTGAGATGATGGCAATTGAGTGGTAGTTTGAGCATTCTTTGGCATTGCCTTTCTTTGGGATTGGAATGAAAACTGACCTTTTCCAGTCCTGTGGCCACTGCTGAGTTTTCCAAATTTGCTGGCATATTGAGTGCAGCACTTTCAAAAACAGCATCATCTTTTAGGATCTGAAATAGCTCAGCTGGAATTCCATCACCTCCACTAGCTTTGTTCGTAGTGATGCTTCCTAAGGCCCACCTGACTTCACATTCCAGGATGTCTGGCTCTAGGTGAGTGATCACACCATCGTGGTTATCTGGGTCATAAAGATGTTTCTTGTGTAGTTCTTCTGTGTATTCTTGCTACCTCTTCTTAGCATCTTCTGCTTCTGTTAGGTCTATACCATTTCTGTCCTTTATTGTGCCCATTATTTGTATGAAATGTTCCCTTGTTGTCTCTGATTTTCTTGAAGAGATCTCGTCTTTCCAATTCTATAGTTTTCCTCTATTTCTTTGCATTGATCACTGAGGAAGGCTTTCTTATCTCTCCTTGCTATTCTTTGGAATGCTGTATTCAGATGGATATATCTTTCCTTTTATCCTTTGCCTTTAGCGCCTCTTCTTTTGTCAGCTATTTGTAAGGCCTCCTCAGACAACCATTTTGGCTTTTTGCATTTGTTTTTGAGGATGGTCTTGATCACTGCCTCCTGTACAATGTCACAAACCTCCATCCATAGTTCTTCAGGCACTCTATCAGATCTAATCCCTTTAATCTATTTCTCACTTCTACTATATAATTGTACGGGATTTGATTTAGGTCGTACCTGAATGGTCTAGTGGTTTTCCCTACTTTCTTCAATTTAATTAAGTCTGAATTTTATAATAAGGAGTTCATGATCTGAGCCACAGTCAGCTCCTGGTCTTGTTTCTTCTGACTGTATAGAGCTTCTCCATCTTTGGCTGCAAAGAATATAATCAATCTGATTCAGTGTTGACCACCTGGTGATGTCCATGTGTAGAGTCATCACTTGTTTTGTTAGAAGACGGTGTTTCCTATGACCAGTGCATTCTCTTGGGGCAGTAAGATAGTATATATGTTCATAACTAACTTTTTAGATGCCATTTTTTAAAGTATATAAATACTAGAGGCTGTTGTTAATGTCCTACGTCACTGTATCTCTGATAGAAAAAGCCTAAAAAAAATAAAATAAAATAAAAATAAAAAAAATTAAAAAAAAGAAAAAGCCTAACTTAGTGGAAATACCTATTAAAACTGGGGCTCAGTTAGCCCTGTACATGGGAAGACACCTTGAAATCTCAGGTTCAAGGTAGTTACTAGAACTGCAAGAAAAGATCTAGGAAGAAAAGAACCTCAAGTGTGTCAGCCTTGCAAACCCAAAACTCAGAGGTATTATCAAATGGGACATGATCAGAGTCCTCTAAGACATGAAAGTGAGAATTAGAGGGAAATGAAGCAAACATGGTTTACGGTTTACTTGGATAATTGTTAAATCACAAATATTACAATGAAAGAAAGTGTAACATATAAGAAAAGGCTTTCAAATGTTCTATGCTGCATACTAGAAATATAAGTAGCTGTCAACCTTAATGTGAAATCCTTTAGAGCTTTCAATCAATATTTCTCATCAAAGCACTTTTGACTTACATGAGATCATTGTGAAGTAGCACTGTAACACAGCACTTTCTTTTATCCATCTCTAAACTAAGGCATGAAAGGGCAATTTTAGGATACAAATTCCACCTAAGCTTTCCCATCTCAGCAGAGAACTCATCTTTAATAGCCTAAATAGAAAATGCTCGCTGTCCACAGAGCCCGCCTCCCGCACCCTCGAGTGAGCAGGTAAAAGTGCAGGTCACCTTTTTGATGGTTGCACAGTACTGAGGCAGCATGCTCTGGTCCAGCCCTTCGATTTGTTTCAGTTTCTCACAAACCGCATCCACGTTCATTGAATTCAGTGGCACTGCACCTGAGGCTGGGCCTGATCCCTAGGTAAGTCGTGGGAAAACACATGTATAAACAGCATTTAATGTCAGATACATGCAGTCATGTGACAGAGAAACACTTATGAAGTTACACTATAAAGTACTTCAATTAAAAGATACATTTTCAAACTTAAGTAAAAATAGTGAATGTGTGCAGCATGGGACATGCCATTAGAGAACAGATTTAGCTACTGTTTACCTTAAAGAGTATCTTTTATTATAGCAGATATATCCTGATCGAAACCACTTTTCTAAGAAGACAGAAGTTCCATGAGCCAACCCAAGGCCAACTTCAAGAAAGCCTAACCTCAAATCTCAAGAGAGAAAGGTGTAGCCCTTAATAACAGAAAGACAGGGGCTTAAAAAAAAGGAATGGGGGAATTACTGATGCCTATAACATACAAAAAAAATACAAAAGGTAAACCTATGAGATAATTTTAAAAGTGCTGACACTCAGCAGCTTTAAATGTCTTCACAGATTACCTTAACAGTCTACAACAGCTGAAGTTTTCAGATCTTGATCATATTTTATATCCAAGAGATCTAAAACCTCCCCTTAAGAACCTATACAATAATCGTGTAAATATAAAACAACAGTACTACTTCTTAACACATGTGGAAGCAAATATAATCCATCAAAATTCAGTCTCATTTAAAAGAAAAATCAAAATAATAAACCTAGTGTTTACTAAGAAGAAAAATATTTTCTGAATACAGAGACATACTAAAGAAGTATTTGCCTGTGTCTAATTACATACAAATCTCCTCAATTACAGATGTGGTCACTGGGGTCCAAAGAGGTAAGTTTTGGCTTCAAACTCACAGAATAAACAGCTAGTTAGTGGTAGATTCAGATCGGAACCCTAGCCTAACAGGTCTTACAACTTCTTATTTTCTTTGTTGCCACTGTCTATCTTTAAAGAGTTTACAGAAACTATAACCAAAATAAAGAGAAGACAAGCCAACTAGTATAGAGGATAATGTTACAAATGATCTGTCTTGTTTACCAGTCAATTTAGTCTTAAAATGATAAATATCATTTATCCTATCCCCAAGGATGTGTCAATTTAAATTTTCTACTGCCTCTTTTGTCATCATCAAGACAAAAGTAGACTATGACAGCCAAAACTGCCTGGGAGCTACTTGTTAAACATTATTTGCAACATGAAAGCATAATATAATACTCTATTATGAACTGATAAATAAATATACACACACAGTATATAAGCAAAATATACCTAGTTACATATAAATATAGTTAGCAGATGAGACCATACTGAACAGACAGTAAGGTAGTCATTTTATAAGAGGGAGTCTCAGCAAGTTTACAAGTGCAAGACAGTCCCATAAAAAATTTTTTTTTATTTTAATTTTTTCATTTATTTTTATTAGTTGGAGGCTAATTACTTTACAATATTGTAATGGTTTTTGTCATACATTGACATGAATTAGCCATGGATTTACATGTATTCCCCATCCCGATCCCCCCTCCCCCATAAAAATTTATAAATTAATGATTTGGAATATACTATTTATAGCTTGTTTTTAATTAAATATAAATTTAAAATATGCCATGTATTATATGGTCTGAGGTTCTCAATTACTTCAAAAATACTAAGTACAGCACAACACTAGTATTTCCATGATTTAGTTTTCATATTTCTATACATAGTTCTATTTTCTGCCTGGATGAGAACAGCCAATATTTAAGTGTTAATTACCCACTATCTTCTATGGAAACTTTAAATGCTTTCTATGAATTTTTAATAACCATATTTGTTTTTTCTTTCTTTTTAAACAGGTTTATGTGAAATATAATTCACAAACAATTCTCTGATTTAAAGTACACAATTCAGTGATGCTGAGTATCTTCTCATAGCTGTGACACCATCACTACACTTAACTTTAGGACATTATCAGAGCCCTAAAAAGCAATTCTACACTATTAGCAGTCAACCTTCATCCCTCCCAACACCCAGTCCTAAACCCTAACAACCACTGACCTACTTTCTGTCTCTGTGGATTTGCCTATTTGGGATACCTAAACAGAACCACACAATCTGTGACCTTTTGTAACTCACTTCTTCCACTTAGTATATTCTCAACGTTCATCTATGCTACAGCATGGATTCATACTTCATTCTTTCTTATCGCTGAACAGTATTTATCTTTTAAATGATCTTTAATACTGTTTTTCAAATGTTTTCATTCCTCAACCTATCTCTTCTTTCTGGGTATATTTAAACTTGTCTGCACTTCTGTGATTAGAAAAATCACAAATGCACAGTTTTATCATACTGGATTATAACTGGATTATAATGATCATACTGGATTATAATTCACAGAATTAAATGCCATGAATCCACACTGATATAAATAAAAAGTTGAGTGAGTAAGTAAATGAGGAAGAAGAGACAGCTTTTACTTATAGAATTCCAATTAATAAATGTAGAACGGAAAATTACCACCCGGAAAACACAACAAAAGTGGCGGTACACAAGACACCACTAAAATTCATGAGAAAAGTATAAGGAGCAACAGGATTCTCTGCAGTTTCAAAGTATCTCCCCCTAAATATTCATTCATTACAAAGGGAAAGACATAACCTCACAGTGTTGAAACCTGGCAGATGCTGCCCTAACCACATGACTGAGGTCCCTATGACCACTGCGAAGATGCAGGCCCTCACAGACCCTCAAATGTGATACATGGAGGACACGCATCACGTTTCTGTGGGTCTCTTGCAAAGATGTATAATCTCCTTCTAATCATTAGGAAACGGTAAACAAGCCCGAAGAGAAGGGCGGTCATAGTATCTGATCAAAGTATCTAATCAGTATTCTTCAAAAGTTTTACAATCATAAGAGACAAGGAAAGACTGAGGAATTATCACAGATTAGGGAACTGTAAGGAGAAATAACAAAATACAACTGGACTGGATCTTGGATCAGAAAAATGATATTAGTGGAAAAACTAGCAAGATTCAAATAAAGCCTGTATTAAGAGTATTGTACAAATTTTCATTTCTGTTCTGGAGAAATACACTACAATCAGGAAAGATATTAATAATAGGGGGATACTATTTTTATACTTTTGAAGTCTAAAATTATTTTAAAGTAAAAAAATTTTTAATCACAAAAAAACTCTATTTTTAATTGTGTTAAAAAGAACAAGTGTAACAGACATGGAACTGATTAACTCTGTCTGTGTGGGGGCTGGGGAAATGTAAAATGTTAGAGAGTAACATTTCCATTAAGAAGGGACTCAGAGAATTCCACAAGACAGACATGTTAATAAAGACACTACTCTTTCCTCTAAAACAGGAAACTCCACATTGTTTTACTTTCATGACCCTTCAAGACTTCTACATTTTATCACTTGAAAACATATTTTGTCCCTCACTGGGGATTATGTAGAAGACATATATTATCTTTGAATGACTTTTAGGAGTTTTCTAAGAAAAAGACACACAGGGTACCCTGTAACTCCATCAAAGCTATTGTCAGACTATTATTTGTGAGTTGGATCTTATCAAGATAAAGAGTAGATTATCAATATATTAAAATACAATATACTTCTTTGAATAAAAGAGAAATGGTAACTACTCGCCCAGTTTTTTCTAACGTAATCATATACAATAACTCTTAGTATCGAAACAAAGATCTTCGGATAGAAACCTCACAGAAGGAAAAGTACAATAGTTGACAAGGAAAAGGTATAGCCAATAATTCAATATGTTAAGTTCTTAATGGAAAACATTACTTAATACATAGAATGGTAATACTTAAAGAGTTTATCACGCATATTCTTACTTGAAATTTACCTGTTACAAGTCAAGGAAAGATCATTTCAGTATATATCACAATCTACTAAAAAACTTTTTCTAACACAGAAAACTGAATGCAGAAGATGTTAGTTTGCTTAAGACTGTTAAATACTTACAAACTTCAAAATATAGACAAATCAGAATTCCTCCAGGTCAAAGTAAAACTAACAAAACAGATTTAAATTACTTTGATGTAACTATATTATTTTATATTATAAGTAGATTAAAACTACACTCTGAAATATCATCATCTTCAGTAAATTATCAAACAAGCTTAGAATTGATTAGCCAGAAATGAGAGCCATGCAGAGGCTGAAAGCAGCTATTAAAAATAAACCCAAGGCACTGAAATGAGCACAGGTTTATAAACAGCCCAGCGGGAAGTTGCCAATGAATGCTTTTAACAGCCTAAAATAAGAAAAATGAGTAAGATTTCACTGAAAGTTTCTGTACCTGTCTCTGTTTGTTAAACCCAGAGTCACACAGCTTTAAGGAAGGAATAAAACAGAATGAAGGACACGAGCTTAAAGGAAAACATCAAATACACTTCTGTAATAAACACAGGCAGCACTTCAGTCACTCTATTTTCCCACGACTCTGAACACACCATCTCTACAGCAACATAAACGAACATCCATGCACACACACACAGACAGTTTAATCTCATTAACATGTGCTTGGTAATTTTAAAATTGTACTCTCAAATTTAATATTCTTCCTGTTAGAAGAATAAGCCATGGGCCATACATTCAACAAGAAAACCAGATAAATAAAATTTGCTATGAAAAGTCAATATTCCTACTATATACAATTACTTTAAAATTAATTTTTAACATTCTAACTAAAAAAACTGCAACTATTAATTGCAGGTCAATTTAACAGCAAGGTTTAAATACTTGGAATTCACATGATCTCTTCATAAAACATTTTCTAGTCACACTAATAGTTTATGTTCAGAAATATAGTTTTCAGATTTAGATTTTGTTTCACTGGGCACGCACTGACGTATCATTTGAAAACAAAGGCCCTAACTGCCGAGCAGCTCAAAAAATCATAAATGTAACAGTGAAAAAATATTGGCACACTATCAGTAAGGTAACTATTTTACTGATGCGGTTTTCTTTATTTTTTTTTTTTGTTTTGGCACAGCACGGCTTGTGGGATCTTAGTTCCCCAA